CAGGAAATAAATCCTGGGAGATCATAAGAATCTGGCCATTATGTTATTTTCTGTGAGATTTCAGAGTTCACAGAACTGACAATTGGGTGTCTTGCTGGCTTATTGAAGTAAGAAGGCTTCCTAATGCTTTTGCTTTCATTCCTTCGCCCTACAAATGGAGGCAGGATTTAAGAGACTTAGTCACTTTCTCAGCAGTGGGAACCTCATTGCAAAAGGAGAAGGCAGCCCACTAGGAAGTAAAGGCCACTTGGCATGAATCGGCCTTACTCACCAGAAGCCCGCAGCCAGCTCCCACCCACTGCTTCCATTCAAGTTGAAGGATGGAGCAGTGAAGATGCTCCAGACGCAGTGAGATTGGAGAATGGTAAGCCTCAAACTACACTCAGAAGCAAGAATTCAAGAAAAGAAGGAGGGCCGGACAGTGGTGGTGCTCGCTTTTAATCCCAGCACTGGGGAGGCAAAGGCAGGCAGATCTCTGTGAAATTGAGGCCAGGCTGGTCTGCAAGGACTAGTTTTGCACAGGTTCCAAAGCTACAGAAAAACCCTGTCTTGGACCGCCTACCCAAAGGAACACGTAAAGTACAGCTCAAACCAGACAGTGCCCTGTGATCCCTGCTTTCTCCTCAGCATCTGCAAACCTCATCATTCCCAGTTGGGATAGTTCATATCATGGGTTCATAGCATATCATTGATGCTTTTGTTTTCTTTTTAAAGAGGAGCTGCTCCATAATTACATTCTGTTCTGTATTTACATGCCATCTCACAAAGGCATGATGCTGTCCCCATTCCTGTCTGGATCACAGGCCGGGCAGAGTTGCTTGTGTACCCTTCCCCACGCTGCAGTGTTTCTTCCTATAAGCCATGTCTCAGCACTCCTCCTACACATCGCTGGTAGCTGCCCAACTCTCCTTCCAAGGTGACTTGTGAGCACTGTGTTTGAGTTTGGAATTTACTTCAGTACCCAGGACTGCCCCAGAAATGACTGCGAATTCCACCAAGGTACACTGACTTGAACGACTATTAGGATGGGATTGGTGGAAGAATCTCCTAAGTGGACGATGGAAGCTATTCAGCCATCCCCCGTGCACTGTCCTTCCCAATTTTATAAAGATGCATTTTTGTTGTTGTTGTTGTTGTTGAGTAACTGGAAATACGAGAATTTCATTTGAGGAAATGTTCACAGCTGCTGACTTTTGATAGGGAATGCTTTCAGCCGATATACCAAATGAATATGTGATCTCATCTTTTTAAGAAATAGGTTAATTGCCTTAGGCAGGTAAACCAAACATAAGGAAACAGTTCCCACAACCTTACCTAGTTTGTAAAGCTCATAGAAGAATAATCCGAATCTGCTGGTGTTATACTTGTGTTTAACTTGTTGTTAAAAAACAAACTGTTTAAAAATGAGTACAAGAAAGAAATAATTTAGGGAAGGAGCAAAGAAAAAACCAATAATAAAGAGTGGACAGCGGGATCTCGGTGTTTCCTGGTTTCAACAAATTAACTGGTTGAATTAAAAACTCTAACGTCATACATTAATTAAGGGATGATCACTACCGGCTTGTTATGAATGAAAAAGGGTAAATAAAAATAACAACACTATAAAAACCTTTCTGGCATCCTCACATTAGAATAGAGATCTTGTTTAAGTCAGTGTGTTTTATCTTAAAGGAAATTCAAAGCTATATTTTGTGAAATCACAAATTTTATTATTTTCAAACTTTGATATGCAGTGCCATACCTTTAGAAACACGTGCTTGCTGGGGGTCATGTTCCTCGCATCAATCATTAGTCACCAAATGACTTACACCGTGAGCTCAGTCTTTGTGCTCCAGTATCAGTACCCTGTAAGTGCGTGACGCTTGTCTGATATTATACAGAACTTCCTTTGGTCTGTCATCAGCCCTGAGAGAAACTAACCCAGACTGTCTTCTAAACGTGCAGCATTGAAACAGAGCTTCCTGGGTACATCTACAATACTATAACAGGGAAAGGCCAGCATACCCTAATGATAGAGCCCAGAACAAAGGTTTAGAGCTTGTTTGGGGTTTAAATGTCAAAAGATTTAAGCATGTAGACCAGGTAAAGGAGCTCTGTAACAAACATGCACCCCCCCCCCCCAGTACACAGGGGAAGGTGGGCAAGCGCCAACGGCTTGATACCTGCCAGGTGGATCTTTTTATTGGATACAAGAGCAACTGTAGCAGGCACTTATGGCATAGTCTATAATTATTCAAATAGATCTTGCCGCTGGCCACCCACTACATTTTTCTGTCTGCTCCCAAGTGCTATGTTTAAATTCCAATTCCCACCTTGATGGTTTGACGCAATTTGGAGGTGAAGAATTGAGAAGGTAACTAGGTCACAAGAGAGGAGCCCTTATTACAGATTAGTTCATTTATTAAGGGGACTCCCAAGCTCACAAGCCCTCTCTCACGATATGAGAATTCGCAGTTAGGCATCTAAACATACATGAGGCCTCTAACCAGATCCCAACTCTTCTGACACTCCAATCTCTTTTGTCCTCCTGACTAGTGAAAAACATTTTTTTGTTATTATTATAAGCCATTAACTGTGCGGAATTACTTTTACAGACACCAGAAATCCCGGATGTACCTGATTTGAATGTTTCCAAGTCCAAGTCTTAATTTAATAGGTGGGGGTTAGTTCCTATTAGCTGAGAGACTTCAGTAGAATCTGAGAATGACCAAAATTTATTCACACCCGTAATGAACATTTACCCATATCCACTTTATATCTGATACTATACAGTCATTATAAAAGGACCAGTGTCTTCTTGGACCAGGTAAGTCACAAATCTGCCATCACTAGCAGTTTGGGACGCTGGAGGTGCCAGTATTCACACAACCCTGCCAACTCTCTAAAGCTACTAACCCAGAAAAACGAGCAACAGTTAGAGCTCTAACAGGATTGCAAATAAATGGATATCTAAATGGAAGAAGAATGAGGGGTACATAGAAACCAGCCAGAGAGCTGAAGCCAGACAGCTAAAAGATCAAACTGTTCACCTCTAAAGGAAGAGGGAAAAGTAGAGCTGAAAGGTTAAATAAAAACAGAAAATCATTCTGTCCAAAGAAAGCTAAATATATAGATGTGCATGTGGATTTGCTAAAGGCAGAAAGTAAAATATGTCCTATGTTGTTTCCTAATGTGTCAATGAAATACTGGAAGTAAGTTTCTGATTGACTCTTACTGCTTACAAATATGAAAAGATATATTCAGGAAAGCAAGTTTAATACATGCATGTGTTCGTTCATGGATGCTCGGTTTGGGTTGTCACATCTATCCAAAGTTTGTTGGAGAAACACAACACAATACCACTACTGACAGCCAAATGTCTCTTCCCTCTACCCCCACTGAAAGACAAGAGAACAAGACTGAATTAGGTGCTGAAAGGTCTCTCAGGAGTCTGAGGTGCTCCAGAGAGTACAGATGCAAGAGCTCAGTGAGTGGTATTCTAAGTATTCTAAGTCTCTGCAAAGCCCAGGCTGATGGGTGAGAGAAAATTCAACTTTGGAAAATCTACTCTTTCCATGGGAGACATGAAATGGTCCCCAGCAGATCTATGTGGGACTGTCATGTCTGTTTCAAGAAGTAGTTAGATGTTTGTAACTCACAAAGGACATCTCAACAGAAGCCAGAATCCTGGAGTGAAGACACGAATCCGAATGGAAGGAGGGGTTAGCTGTGGAGGCTAATGTTTCAAAGACCCTGATATATCTCTGGAGGGAATTCTATTGTTTCTGTATAAATATGTTTTCTTTTTACTGGAGAAATACCTTGAAGCATCAGTTGATGCTGAGACGGAGAACTCAGAAGGAGGTCCTTTGATCTGATTGCAAAGGGCAGAGAGAAGAAAGACTGACAGCTGTCAGTGGTCGAGGGTGCAGGCCAGTTGCCAGCAAGAAGTGAGAAGGCCATTGTGGATGTTGTATCAGTCATGCTGAATATAGAGGCATCTCAAGAAAAGATAGGGATCTGGGATTAGAGAGGGATGGTGGGGGTGGATAGTATTTCTACAACAGCAGCATGCTTTGAACCTAGAGGAGAGAGGCTGGAGGCAGAGCCGGCAAAGGCTACAGGCTTCCTTCCCAACAGTTGCATCCCCTACAAATGAGGCTCCTTCTTGAAATTTCAGGGTCAAAGAACAAAGAGAAAGGCACAGAGAGGAGAAAGTTCAGGAGAGCAACGGAGGGTGGTTTCCCTGTCTTCTGCAGTGATAAGGGGAGGCCAAGGTGCTGGATGGGAAGGGGGTGCCAGCCTCCTTCCTGTCCAGGGCTCAGTTTAGTAGCCCTCTCACCACATACCCTCTCCCAGACACCATTCCCAGCCATGTCTGGAAAACGTTCCTACCAATCTCGGTTCCTTGCCTTCAGTATGAAGTGTGCAGCTGGTGACCTGATGCTCGCAGGTACCCATTTCTGACCCGTTGTTTTACATTAAGTGGCCATCCCTGCTCCAGTCTCCCCAAAATGCAGCACCTTCTCCTCCTACCCCCACCCGCCTGGGCAAGCACCTTCTTCTCAGTTCCTCCCTCAAATCTTTGAACCACAGAGACAGACTGCTTGTCACATCAAATCACTCCTTAGTCAAGACACCCACTTATCTACCCTTGCCTGCCCACTTTTCTTAGGTGGTTTATTTCCTTTACGGTTTAGGAAAAGCCCGGCTTTGTGGGCTGACATCGAGATGGTTGTGCATTTTGTGAGATCAGTGTTTTCCCTATTGCAGTGTCCTTTTACTTCTAATTAAAACCTCTCCCTGCCTCTTCCTATAAATCAGGGTGGTTTGCATGTAACATTAGCAAGTACCTAGGGGGACTCCTAGGAGAGGCTGGGACACCTTGGGGCCAGGTGGCTTTTGTCTGCCACCAGGGAAAACCAAGGAAGCCTGTGATGGGAAGCTCCTACCTGAACTTCAGCTTTCTAAAGTGGGATGAATGTCACACCAAAGAGGTTGGAAGCTCTGCCTAGACAAACTGTCAAGTTAAAACAAAAAATATACCAAGCTCCCAGTTAGCTAGAAGGGGTTGTGCTTGGGGACCCTGTAGGGAGATAACGCAGGAGCAAGGGGAGGGGGCAGAACTGGGGGGTAGAAAGGGAACCAGTAGAAATCGCGCTTCTGGTAGATCAACAAAGGTGGGAGAGAAAAGTGTGGGTGGTCTTGTTGATCCAGTACCCCGAGGTCCCTCCATGGCGGCAGCGGTGGCTGCGGTGGCCAGAGCAGCAGCAGTGGAATCAGCGAGCGGGACGGAGTTAGGACCGCTCGGAGCGCCCAGGTCTCGAGGTAGTATAAGGTTTTTGCAATCCTTCCACTCGCTGGCAGTTGCAGAAGATCTGCTTTTTAAGTGAGAAGAACACGCCACCCCTCCGAGGGCTGCGGCTTCCCGGGGCTGTTTCCTCGCTCATCGCTTTGCCGGCCCCTGGCGCTCACTCGCTAATTCGTCCGCGCCCCTAAGTTTGCCGAGAGGTGGCTGCGGGCTGGGAGCAGGGTCCCGGCCGGGAGCCGCGGGAGGGGGCTGGGAAGCGGCGAACCGCAATCCAGAAGCATCTTGGGGCCATGTATATTTCATCAAACGGACTTTGGGTGCGTCGCGTCTCGCAGCCATCAACGCTATGTGCAGTGACATTTCTGACTTGAGTGGAGGAATGCGCGAAGGAAACCGGGGCGAAATTGCTTCGAGAGGATCTTCTTGGCGCCAAGGCTAATTGTCCTGATTTATGTCGCTTCTGACAAAAAAGAAAAAAAAAGATCCAACATCTTCATCTGAAATAAAATGAAAGCGGTGCCAGGCGGGATAGAACCGCCCGGCCGCTGGTTCTGATCCCCCGGGATCGGGGGGAAAATCGTTCTGCGGCTTAAAAGAAAAGAAAGAAGAAAGGAATAGAAATAGAGAAGAGAAAAAAAACCCACAGTAAAAGTTTAAGGCGAGAAGTGGCGGTGGCGGCGGCGCGGGGAGACTGTGAGAGGAGACGGCTGGTGAGACCTCGGAAGGCGGCGATTTGGTTCCTAATCCCACTGTATTTTTGGAGGGAGAGGCACCTTTCTCATCCTCCCTTCCTCTCCGCCCACCCCTCTCCCTCCCCCTCATCTACCTGTCAAAGTCACTGATCTTTTGCATTTTGGAAGAGGACGTCAACGGGAAGGAATTCCCCTGTCCGGGTCCCGGCTCCGAGAGGGGGCGACGCGCAACGAGGCTGCCCCAGGGGCGCGAGGCCAAGGTAACTGGGACGGGAGGCGCCGGGCGCCGTGGGGTCTGGGGCCGTGGACTCCTCCTCCCCGCGGCCCGCAGGACGCTTACAGTGTGGGGGACGGACCCCGGGGCTGCGGTGTTGGCGACTCGGGTCCACACCCGCGGCGTTCCCATTCCACCCGAGCCCCGTGCGCTGCCAGCGGGTCCCCGCAGCTGCGGTCGCCGCCCCACGCGGG